TTGCTTGTTGTGCAAGGAAAAGAACTAGCTTATATGCCAGATATTTTATATATACTATCATCATCTTTTTTTAAAAAAAAAAAGATTTATTTTTGCATAGAAGAACTGGGGTACAGGCCAGAGGTATAGGCAGATGAGATGATTCACCAGAGACAGAATGGGGAGCAGAACAGGCAGATCTACCAAAATACCTGTTAAGGTGAGAAGCAAGTGAGACAAGAGAGGTCTGCTGTGTCATGTGGGTTAGCACCCTGTCCAGGGATCGTACCCAGGCCATCGAGGTGGTAGTGCCAAGACTTAAACCTCTTGGCCACCAGGAGGCCGGAGGCTATCATCTTCAATCTTTCAAGTTTTTCAAATTATTATTTTCATTTCAAAAGAAAGAAACCAAGACTCAAAGAAACTAATCAGGACCAAAACATAAATTTGTAAAATAAAAATAGTTTGTTATAGTTTATCACATGGCATGTTGAGAAATTGGTGGCAGCACTGTTGCCTATTAGTAATCACATTGGTAATCTGATCTGTCAAATTGCACCTCTCTGAGATAAGTCTGGGTATCTGGAGGGTAAGGAAGCACAGGACTTATAACTTAGTTAATAAGAATGTATAACAGAGGATGGTTGAAGAATGAGTTATGTAAACCAGGATATCTGAGTTGTTAATTCTATACAATTTCATGTACATTTGACTTAAAATTAAAGTTGATGTTTAGTTTTCCAGAGTTTTAAGATAAGACAATTAATTCGAGTCTAAAGTGCTATGTATTGGAATAACTGATATTTAATTATCTTCCTTCATGAACTGTGGAACTCCCTATTGAGAACATTTGTGGTAACCAAGCAATTTTTTCAATAAAGCTTTCATCTCTTTGTTAATCTTGGAATAGTTTGAGAGATTTTTAAATTGAAACTCTTTCCTTTTTATTTTTTAACCCATTTATATTACATTCCTATTCTTTTTATATTTAGGGGAAACAATGGTATTTCAGTATATTGAATTTAGTTCCTGAAGATGAGATAATGTTGACCTATTTAGAGTATTACAGAGTATTATAAATGACTTAAGGACACTTATTTGCTTAAGTAAATAAATGCTTTGGAAAGCATGAAAAATGAGAATTTTCATTGTCAGCAATAGGGAAAAAGTCAATTTATAGAAATCTATTTTAATATTTGTGAAACTTGGGAAAACTTGCAGCTGTGTGTCCAAAATTATAGAGAATATGCTACGTTGATTTTGAAGATGGATAGAAATTGTACATGAATAAAGGGACAGTTCTTAAGATTAGCTTTTTGCTCTATTTATGATAGCCATGAGTATGTCTGTACAAACATATTTAATAAATTTAAGATGTATATTATATTTGATCAACAATGTTTTAAGCTTTGCTTTTGAACACAAAGAAAGAATAAATAGGTACCTAAGTACCTGTTTACCTCTTTAGATGCTGGTAGACCACTTGTTTTGCTAGTCTTCAGAATTGGAAGGAGTGTCAGATACACAGAAGCCAGAGTCATCTTGGCCAGATGGTGTTTGATACAGATGGATGGTTAGTTGTCATGCAGATCTCCTAGTTGGTAACTTGTTGCTGCCATCTGACTCAAAGAATCATTCACACACACTGGCTGTCAAAAGCATCTTCTCTTCTGTCTGTTTTAGCTGTCATGTCTGTGCTCTGTACAGAAGTGTTGACAAGACATTGCTGTTGTACATTTTCAATGTGGTTGTTAGTGATGTTAGTGATTTTTCTGTTTTGTGGGGTCTTTGATAGTGATGGAAAGTACTTGCTTTGTAATTATGTTTAAAAAAAAAAATACTGTGACAGTGCATCAATTACCTGACCTTTTAAAAGAACTTACCAGGTTATAAGTTTATTCAGTTCTGTTCAGTGAACAAAAAACATTAAATAAAAAGAAAAATTTCTGTTTCAGTTAGTTCAACCCTTAACAAGTAATCTGAATTCTCTTGGTTTCCCAACTTGATATAATACCCTTTTCTGGACTTTCCCTCTCATAACGTTGTGGTCAAAATTTTATACTATTTTCTAAATGTATATTATCTTTTCTCATATTAGTACCTTTTTTTCCCTTATGGTATAAGCCTCATTTAAAAAAAATCTTGAGGCACTGCTAATCTTCTGTTTTCTCATATTTAATTTTCTTTTGCCTTACTCATTTATTGACCCAAGTCTCTACTTTTTTAAATTCCCTGGTATAGAAATATAAGCATCGCCTTTCATTCATTACTTAAGGTCACTTCTGAAGACATCTATATCTATGATAGTTCTTTAACAACCTAATTAGTTGATTTTATCCAGCTAATATTTACAAAGCATCTGAACATGTGCCAGGTATTCTGCTATACTCTGGAGATATTAGGAGAAAATAGTCTCCTCTTGAGAAGGTCGTAGTTTAGAGAGAAATCAGACATGAAGACAATTAGACTATAATACTATAATTATTATAATGTAAATATGTGGAAAGAGCAGTAAAAGTACATGGACCATTCTTATTCTATTTCCCTTGCTATACTTCCAGAATGTCAGTTTTTAAATTGTTACAGAATTTGATTGAGCTTATAAAAATTTTTATTAAGTGGTTTAAGAATAGTTCAGAACTTCAACTTGAAATAGTTATTGGACTATTGATTTTTCCCTGTTAATGAGTACATTTCCAGCATTATTCATGTATTGTAATTTGCTATATACAGACTGTACTCTGTTTGATCACTTGAACAAATGTGCCGAAGTATGTTTTTAAGACAGAGACTAGAAGATAAAAATTACCTGATAGAGATTGAGTTGGTTCCAAAAGAAAACATAGGTCATTTGGTTTTCCATTAAATTGGGAAAAAATAGTAGCAGGAGGATGCACTGAGGTTTAAATAACTCAGATATTTGTTCTGAACCCATTTAACTTGTTAAGTTTTTGTACTGCTTAGTATCTGGGTAGGAGAATATCACAAAACATAGTGAAATAGGTCATTAGTGGTTGATATTTATGAAAAGCTTTAAGTTCTTTGCAGAAAGTTCTAAATACATAGAAATAGATAAAGATGATAATAACAGAAATATGTTTACTGATTGCTCAACCCTGGTGGTTCTGTGGAACCCAGGTGAATTTCAGGTATCCATAATTTGCTGTAGACCTGTGAACCATTCTTTCAGTCAGCCTAACATTCTTTCTAGGTACATGGATATAAATTTAATAGGAATAAGAAATCTTGCCCTAGGAAGCCCCACCTAGACTAGACTTCGGTATCTAAGTTTCAGTTCTTTTTTTTTTTTTTTTTTAAAAATTTATTTATTTATTTATACAAGCACTGGGTACGGTCAGAAGCGCGGGAGAGTGAGAGAATTCACCAGAGCGGGGAGCAGAACAGGCAAACTGACGAAACACTGCTGAGGGGAGCAGCGGGCGTGGCAGGAGAGGTCTATGCGCCATGTGGGACCTTCCTCCAGTGGCCGGGTCACAGCCAGGGATCAAACCGGCGCTGCAGAGGCTGCGGGCAGCTTCGCAACCCAGCGCTCAACTGCTGCACCACCGGGGAGGCCCTAAGTTTCAGTTCTTAAGTTCATAGGGTATATGGTCCAGACAGACTCACAAGACTCAATCTCCTCGTAATAATAATAAAATTTACTTGGAATTTTTTTTTTTACTTCAATTACTTATTTCTTTTTTTTTTTTTTTTTTTTTTGGTCAGTAAGCATGTACTAAATACCTCTTATGTTTAAGTTACTTGTAGGAGTATGAAATTATAAAAGTACCTCAGGGCAACATGCAAAAACTACACACCACTTGGGTTGCATACCAGTTCTGTTCATTATTCATGTTTGAAGTATATTACTTGTAAAATTTCACCTCTCATTTGGGGAAATCTGGCACTTTGCTTTATTTCTTAAGCTACTTTATTTTGGTAATCTATAACAGCTGTGTAATTTATAAAGAACTTTAGGCTTATTGGCCTCTGAAAATAATAGACCTTCACTAATTTTGAAAATTTGATTAAGAATCAGTCCAAGGGGTATGGGGGTGAAGAATCAATTCAAAATGAAATATATAGTGTCCATTGAAGGACATCCCAAAATTATTAGGACCCCATTTCATATTTCAGGGAATTTAAAATGTAGTGATTTATATACATACGGTAGTCATTTATATATTTGTTTCTCCAGTGATAGAAATAGGTAAAGAATTCTGGTGTGTTTTGGGGTTGGTTTCTTTTTTTTGTGATATATTTTTTAACATTTGTATTGATTACATAATTGTAGTGCAAATTTGCTTGAAGTTTTGCAACATTTATATTCTCTACTGCAAACTCCTGTCTTCTGGCATTGCTTAATTCTCATACACATTGCTATAAAAGAGCAAGGTGAATGGATTAGAAATATAAGGGAAATTTATGATTATAAATTTATGTGGGTATTTATGATAGTCAATAAAGATTAGCCATGGTATTCTCTTGACATAAAACTTAATGTTAGAAAACAAGTTTCTGATCAATAGAATTTTATAATTTTTACTAGACAATTTGATTTTCATAGTGTCTTAGTTACAAAATCTTCCTTTGTGTTTTTGTACTCTAAAAGCAAATGGGAAGTATGTTTATTTAAAAGACTTGAAATCTTAACTTTTTTCAATTTAATGTGTATTTTTATAGAATTAATGTAACATATTTTTCCATTTGTGCTTTTTTTAGTTATCACTAATCATAAATTATAAATCAGAATTTTTATGCTAACTGGAGTACCAAAAAAAATCACACATTGAAGTCTTAAGTGAAATTTCTTTAAATTTTACAGTTTTAACTGGTTTAAATCACTGACGTCTATAAAGATTATAATTACTGGAGCAAGATTTTAGTTTATAAAAAATGCTTACTATATGGGAAATGGCACTTTGGGCAGCTCACATATATTTATAAAATTATTAATGGACAGTAAATGTATGTATATGTCTGTCAGTAAATAACAGACTAACTAGTTTTTATGTCAACAGACTGAGAACTATGAGCAGAAAATACGTGAGCAACAGGAACAGCTGTCACTTCAACAAACTATTATTGACAAGCTAAAATCACAGTTACTTCTTGTGAATTCCAGTCGAGGTATGTACATGTTAATCTTTTATGTATTTTTTTATATATTTCTTGAACTTCTTGGAGAAAAGAAAGGTGCTGCAAGTCATGTTTTTCTATTTTATTTCTCCATTGTTTCTTAATAGGATATTTTAATAATTGTGGTGCAATTACATGTTGTGTTTATTTACAGAAATAAGCTCTTTTTTAAAGAAATAAACTTTTTTTTTAATTTATTTATGCATACAAGAACTGGGGTCTAGGCTAGAGGTGCAGGGGGTGAGAGAGAGACAGAGACAGAGCGGAGAACAGAACAGTCAAATCTACTGAAATAAACTGCTGAGAGGAGCAGCGGGTGAGACAGAAGAAATCTGTTACACTGTGTGGGTTAGCTCCCTGACCAGGACTGAACTCATGCCACAGTGGCTGGTAATAGTTTGATAGTGCTGAGACTTTAACCCCTTCGCCACCACGGAGGCCCCCTAAGGAATAAACCCTTGCAGGATATGGGAAGATGGACATTCACATATACCATATGGTGGAGCACTAAGTTGATAAAACTTCTTAGAATACAATTTGCTGAAGAATAGCAAAAGCTTTTTTAAAATCTCTACCTTTTAAACCAAAAATCAATTCATGAGAATACATCATTAAAAAAATACTTAATCAAGTACTCAAAAATATGTGTATGCGGGCCTCCCCTGGTGGCACAGCAGTTGAGCGCTGGGCTGCGAAGCTCTGCAGCGCCGGTTCGATCCCCAGCCACCAGGCTAGAGTCCCACATGGCGCACAGACCTCTCCTACCACCCGCTGCTCCCCTCAGCGGTGTATTTCATCACTCTGCCTGTTCTGTTCCCTGCTTTGGCTCTGGTGAATTCTCTCACCCTCCCGCACTTCTGACTATACCCAGTGCTTGTATAAATGAATAAATAAATCTTTAAAAAAAAAATATGTGTATGCAAGGATGCTCATCACAGTATTATTGCTAATAATAAAAAACTAAAGAAATGTCTCATAATTAAATTATAGTTACCATAAAATGAACAGCTATGTAGCCAAGAAAAGTAATAAATTTTTTTCTTTGTTTATTTTTATTTTATTTGTTTATTGAGATAACATTGGTTTATAACACTGTATGATTCAGAAGACTACGTTAGCTTCTTTAGATATATTTTACCATGCCATACCCACCACCAAGGCACCTTGTAGCATATAGCAAAGTGAGCAAAGCAGGATACAAAAATGAATGTTTGTGTTTAAAAAGATGATTCTTTTTTTGTTTTAAGATTTATTTATGTATATAAGAACTGGGGTGTAGGCCAGAGGTGCAGGGGCTGAAAGGATTCACCAGAGACAGAGTGGGAAACAGAACAGGCAGATCTACTGAAATAGGCTGCTGAGGGGAACAACAGGCGAGTCAGGAGAGGTCTGCTTCACCATGTAGGTAGCTCTCTGGTCAGGGATCAAACTTGTGCTGTTATGGCTGCGGACAGCTTCATAGGTCGTGCTTAACCCCTTGCGCTACAAGGAGGCCCCAAAAAAGATGATTCTTGTATGAATTTATATGTATAGGAAGAGAAAAGCTCTGATAAAATATGAGCCAAAATAGTAACATGAATAATTTAATGGGATAAATACCTTCTCTTTAATTTTTCATTATTTTTGCCATGTCTGCATTTTGTGATTTTCCTACAATAAGCATGAAATCATTATACAAGTAATTAAACAAATGCATGCCTAACATACAATTTACATGAAGTTTAATTACTTATGCTGATGGTAGACTGCAAAAGCATGCCTTTAGTTTCTACAAACAACTGATTCTGGGAAAATAGGAGTTTTGTGTATTGGGATTGAAAAAAAAATCTAAATGGGTAAATCTATATTGTCAAAGTAACTTTTATCTAAAGATTTTTAACTCATAGTTTAAAATGCTCACTCTTTAAAATTAGGATTTATTTGTATTCTGTTTACTTCTCCAGGTAGTACCAAAACATGGGCTTCCTACTTATGTCCAGGAGGTTTTTGTCTTACAGATAACAGTTATGGCTGTGTCCCCCTATTTGAAGACAGTGAAGCAAGGAAGAATAATTTCACTCTTAATCAGCCAAATGATAAAGTGAAATCAGGAGTACCAAGAGAAAAAGAATCTCAGGTAGTACACTATTAGTTTTTTTTCCATAAAACATTAGAAATAGGTCCAACAGACTTCTGAATTAGTATTCTAGCACAATTTGTGAGAGAAAGTAGACAAAATTCTTTTCAGCCTTGACATTACTTTAGTAAAACACAACATTCAAATGCTGATACACAGTACATCTTCCTTATTTTCTTGAGGTGGATCCACCACTGTTATTTTAAACAGAAATTCTGTATATACAAAGCAAATAACTTACATGTTCCTAAATAGAAGTACTATTTCCAAGCAAAATAAGAGTTTATGTTGCATATTCTCTACTGTTCTTTTTTCTGTATCACAAGATGCTTAACAAAGAAATAAAAATTAAACTAAGTTATATAGTAAAGCATAGAACAGAATGTTAGAAAATGACATTCTATTTTTTTCTTTAATTGCTTGTGCTTAATTTGAAAAATTAAATCAACCCTACCAAGTTCAGCAAGAGCCTTCCTTGAGGCAATGTGGAAAGGAATATTCCATATCTGCAGGAAGACATATGCTAGGGTATTAATGCTAGGTTGGTTAGAAATGAACTAAAAATCTATCATTAGCAGAATAGTACATCTTTATAATTAAACACTTCAGAAAAATTAAACTAAATTAAAAATATATGTCTATCTTAATATGCATAGATTTCAAAGGCTATTTTGATTAAAAATGAAAATTACAAATTGTTAAAATGTAAATATTTAAACATGGCAGGTTTATAAAAACACAAATATGTAATAAAAGTATACAATCATGAACAAGTTGCATATCCTTTTTAAAAAATCATCTCCTCTACAGTTGGGGAGAGAAGAGACTATCATTTTGGTAAGAAATCAAATAGGATTTTCAGTATAGCTGTTAACTTTTTTCTTTTAAGAAAGTATCTGAAGCAAATATGCCAAAATGTTAACACTTGTTAAATTAAGGTAGTAGATAACATAGACATATATTTTATTCTCTGTATTTTTCTAAATCTTGAAATTTTATGAGTTTAGAAAGGAATTTTTTAATGAGTTGAGTTTTCATGGGCTGAAACATGTTTTGACTAAAATAAGCTATGACCATTGAGTAGTCTTAACATCCACAACACCAATTAAGTCAAGACTACTCTATTTATTCATTAGTTTTAAATAAGGTAGGTTTTAGCTTCATTTATCAGGGCTATTCAGTTACTGATCTTATAACTAAGACTCTCTTTACTTATTTAACATCAAATCTGAGAAATCCAATTTTGATACTTTGCTAAAAGAATAATTTTAGAATGAGAAAATTATCTGTCATATCTCATAGTTCATATTTTTTGTTCAAAATAATTTTTAAAAGTTTTTAACCAAAAAATATTGATTAAAAACGAGAGGTTGTAGCCTTGGAATATGTTTAGGTTTATATTGCAAAAGAAGAAATTTAGAAACAATGATTCGTACTTTTGGAGTATAAATTTTATGATTGGGTCTATTATGGTACATTATAAAATCATTAAACTACTCCATAAAATGCTGACTTACAAACTTAGCCTTTAAGTAAACAATGTTTGTAGTCCATTTTCCTCTTTCAAAGACTTCTAAACTTTTAATCAAAAGTTATATACTTATTTTAGCTGTAATATTTCTTTGAACATAATTGGATATATCCAACTCAAAATATGGAAAATATAAATCTTGCTTAGAACAAAAGGAATAATGTGAAAGGCTCTAAGATATGTTAATAATTTATTTTAAATTTGGGTAATTTGTCATTGTTTATGAAAGTTTTAGAGTTTATTTTCCAGTCAGTAAGTATTTAAAGCAAACTATCGGGCCTCCCCGGTGGTGCAGCGGTTGAGCGCTGGGTTGTGAAGCTGCCCGCAGCCTCTGCAGCGCTGGTTCGATCCCCGGCTGCTCCCCGGCCACCAGAGGAGGGTCCTACATGGCGCGCAGACCTCTCCTGCCGCCTGCTGCTCCCCTCAGCAGTGTTCTTCGGTCCTTCTGCCTGCTCTGCTCCCCGCTCTGGCTCTGTTGAATTCTCTCACCCTCCCACGCTTCTGACTGTACCCAGTGCTTGTATAAATAAATAAAAAATAAAATAAAATAAAAATAAAAAAAGCAAACTATCAATAAAATTCTTTTTAAAAGTAGCATTTGTTACCTTTTTTTTTTTTAAGATTTATTTATGTATACAAGAACTGGGTGTAAGCTAGAGATGCAGTGGGTGAGAGGATTCACCAGAGAGAGTGAGAAGCAGAACAGGCGCTTCTACTGAAATATACTGCTGAGGGGAGCAGCGGACAAGACAGGAGAGGTCTGCAGAGCCATGTGGGTTGCTCCCTGGCCAGCCGGGATCAAACTTGTGCTGCAGTGGCTGGTGGTAGCTTGATTTTGCTGCCTTTAACCCCTGTACTATCAGGGAGGCCTGCATTTCTTACGTTTTATAAGACAAAGTCTTTGAAATTTAAAATACTTATCTGGGTACTTGGCTGAAATTCAGTGTAAGTAGCAGAAATCATGTCAGAGTTTTATTTCTAACTATTTGATAATGATGTTGCAACTATTGAAACTTTTTGAACATATAATAAGAACAAAAAATGTAAAGCACCAAATAAGAAATAAAACTAAATTCAGTGAGTTCTCATAATTATTTTTATTTAATAGAGTAATTGTTTATGTGATAGCCACATATTTAATACTATGAAGAGCTTAAGTACTCACGCCTCTTGTTCTGTAACCGTTTAATAAAAATAAAATCTGTATTTCAGCTTTCTTATTTTCCTTTATAATATCCAGAAACAAAGTGCTAATGAGCACTAAAATCACAAGGAATTACAGAGGAGAAGTATATTGTAAAGAAATGGATAAATTAGATTTATTGAATATTTTAGTTAGTTGTATATTCATTGTAAAAAAAAAAAAAGGCCTAATTTAGAAAAACATTGGCCAGTCATGTGATTAAAATTAAACTTTCCCAATGGCATATATTTCTCTGTATTTATTGTGCTATAAATAAATTCACATGTAAGGAATACAAGTGAAATCCTTTCCCTAATTATGAACTTTGAAAGATTGGGGTATTTTAGAGTTTTGGTTGGTTGCAATTTTATAAGAGTGTATATCCACAAACAAGATTTAGAAGGCAGTATGCAGCAATGGCTAAGATTTTTATTTTTCTATTATCAGTATACTCACTAGTCTCAAAAACTGATTTCTAGATATTACATTCCCATTTGGTCTCTGTAATAAATTAGTAAGTTGATAAAGATGCTTTGAACCAGTAGTAACAGAAGGATGGTACTATTAATCACCCACAGTTCTTTCCTTCTCCTGTTTGGTGGTTAGTTTGAGGATTTATTTTCTTTAGATTATTTTGTTTAGAATTTGGTTAGGATATTTGAAATTGGAAAGATCCTTGGACATTATGGTATATGACAACTTTTGGACAAACTGGAAGAAAGAAGGGTATGTTGAAAAGGAGGCTCTTTTAGAAAATTTTATTTGAAAAATGTGAAATTTATAATTCAGGCTCTGTTAATGCTACTTGTACATAAAAAACATGCAAATTACCCCATATTTGCCTCAAAACTTGACTGCTTAAAACAAAAAATATTTATTATCTCAGTTTCTGTGCATTAGAAATGCAAGATAAAAGTGGTTCAGTGGTTCTGGTTCAGAATCTCATGTTATTATAGTCAGGGTATGAACAAGGGCTTCAGTTTTATAAAGACTTGTCTGTTGTTGAAAGATCTACTTCTAAGCTGACTCATTCACATGACTATTTGCTTGAGACTTCTCTGCAAGGACCTCTCTTCACATCCTGATACCTAAGAAAATAAGAGAGATCCACAGGAGAGCAAGGAGGAAGTCAGTGCTTTCTGTGACCTACACTTACTTCCTCTTTAGATTAACTAGCTTAGAAGCGAGTTACTTTTACTCCAGAGGTAAGAAGAAAATTCCTTCACTTGAAAGGAAAACCACCAAAGATTTTGTAGCCATATTTTAAAAGCATCACAAGCATTGTAGATTGTGGTAGACCAAAGAGGGTACCAAAGATTAGGGTTTGGGAAGGTAGTATTTAATTCATTCTATGGTAAATATTAATGATCATTAAAAGAACATGGTAGAATTTAATAATGAATTCAGTTTCCTGAATCCTGTCATCATTAATCTCAGAAGAAAGCTGAGCAGTACTAAAAGAACCAAGGAGTTATTGTATGTTACTGCTAATTCTTTTTCTTATAACCAATTTTTAAAATTGAAAATAGTTGTATACAGGAAATGAATTAACAAAAATGTACATATTTATTCTTGGCAAAGATTAGTCATCTCATTTATAGGACACCTTTATCAAATGTAGTAATACATGTCATGATACCAGTTATTAAATAACAAATGTGTTCTATATAACCGTCAGTAGATATTGTTTAAATCACTTTTTTAAAAAGTAGCATTATAATAGTCATTTTTATGATCTTGGAAATAGGAGATGTTTACTTCTAGGATGCATTTTCAACCGCCAAACTAAATACTACCTTAGTATTTAGAGTATCTTAGAGTATTTTAGAGTATCTTTAGAGTGTTTAGAGTATCTTAGATTTTGACAAAAATTATTTGCCCTTATCTTTAATCCCACTTTTAGTTTAGTGGAAATTATACAATAGTTTAGAATGTTTAGATGCAAGAAAAAATGTAAAGAGCAATAATATAAAACATATAAGAATTTGGTGATGTTGGTAAATTTTCTTCATTCATTTAGTAATTGTCAACTGCTATGTACCTGATACTGTAAGCAACTGGAAGAACAAAGATATATTGTACCTTCCTCTGGCTTAATTGATTTAATAACCAAATCAGACATTATTTAATGTTGCAAAGTTATTTCAGATTCTAGGGTCCACAATATGAAGTAAATGTGTTTATTTGCACTTTTAATTGTTTAAGTAGAGATCATGTGTTCATGTGTCCAGAGATAATTTTATCCTTCACTTCTGATTTTCTGTATATATATTCCTAACTCATTCT